ATCTCTGCCCGTTGTCCTTTCTGTTCCGCCTCTATGACCATCTCGTTCGCAACCTTCTCCGTGACTCTTTGAATGGCCTGGTTCGAATCGAAGTTCTGGATCTCCTCCTTCAACGGCGGAACCCAGAGAGGCAAAGTGCGTCGGACCTCATTCAAACTGATCGTCCGAGTTTGCAAGAAGATCTCTTCCTCCTCATTCTCCAGATTCAATGCACTCACCTCCGCCTTGCGAACCATCACCTCGGATTGAGACAGAACTTCTTCCAGGAAGCGATTCTCTGAATCCAAATCGCCCACCACTGAGATGTCCTTCTCTTCCATGACGTTGGACTCCAGGCGCATGAACTCCTCATTGGCCCACATCTGTCCCCTCACCAAGCGACGTTGTAGTTCATCGACTCCCATACGTGCCAGAGCCGTCTTTTCAGGCTTGGCAGACTTGTCCAAAATGTGAGCTGGCTCTTCACGGATCTTGACTTCCAGGACATCCTCCACTGCCTGGTGGTTCCCCCGGCATCACCATGTCATCGGTGCGGACGAAGTTGCCATTCTCCACCTCCACCAAATGACCTCCACTAGTAGACCTCCACTAGTAAGACTCATATCGGGGTCTGGACCTCGGACGATACCTTGCTTCTTGCGAGATCGCCAATGTCCTTGAAAGTCGTCCCAGCCTTTCCCATGGGAGAAGTTTGGGGGTGTCAAAACCAAGCAGCGCCAGCTGTTGACGTCCTCGTCGCTCACCAACGTGCTTCGCCATGAGAGGCCAGTAATCTTCACCATCACCTGATGACCGGATCAAGGTGTTGATTGCACGTCGGATGACGCCAATCTCTGCTTCAGCACGTCCATTGGCTTTCCAGTCACTGCCACAGGTGTAGGTTCGATACAAACCACGCTCCTCACACCATCGCCTTGTGCTTCTCATTTCCCCTGCCGCATCACTGTGCACCCTTCTCACATCCATCCCCAAGTACTTCAACCTGGCGATCATTCGAGCAAGACAGGCCTTCACATCTGCGGCATTTCTTGAAGCCAAAGTCTCCACCATGGTGTAGTTCTGAATCTCAATCTGCTCTGCCTCCACCTCGAGTCTTTCCCACTCCTCAAGGCGCTTGACATCCTCCTCTTTTTTCTCACCCTCCTCCAACTTCTCCTCCTCCAAAGCTGGAAGAAGTTCTTCTCCGTCAGGCACCTCTCCATCGTCTTTTGCCCCCATGGTTTCTTCGAGGCTCAATGGGAGCGCACTGATCTTTCCTTCAATCCTCTTCACCGGGATGGAGAACACGCCAACCATGAAGTACTTGGCCTTGGCTCGACGATCATGCCCCGGTCGAAAAGGTCCACAAATATCAACACTCAGTGTTTGTGCATCAGGACGTTGAACCTTCCTATGAGGGCGACTTCTTCCTCCTCCTTGGAGGCAGGTCGAGCACTCCCTTGAATAGGGCATGTGGTCGTTCAGCACATGCTGTCTCCACTGCTCTGCGGTCATCTTGGCCATAAGTGGCGAGCCTTCTTCCCCTTCATCCATGGACTGGTACCCCTCGAGCTCCAAGAGGATGCCCTTGACAATCTTGGTCTTGAAGTCCAAAGGCCATGCCGCCCACGATCTGCTCATGGACATCCGATCCTGCAGATTTGAAGGTGTCGCTTGACCATCCCTCTGCTTTCTATGATCACTCATCCCATCCAAATGGTGAACATGCCGGATGTTGGTGCCCAAGGTCGTAGGTTTTCGACGAGGGTGCCCCAACGCTCCCAAGTCTAGCCGGACCTCCTTTATCCCAAACCTTTCAATGAAGATCTTCCACTCCGGCCAAGCAAAGAAGGATGGATATTGGATCGGGTCATTTTCCTCCTTGTACTCTTGGGGGTCCCTTGGCTGCTCCTTCAAAAAGAGAACCGGCTTCTTTCTTGCTTTTGCGGCCAGCGAAAACAACCACAGCTGCCTCATCCAAAGCACCGCGTCATTCCATGCCAGCTCACGAAGCGCGTCTGGTAGATCTTGAAGAGCAAACCTTTCAGGGCCTGATCTCGATCTCAAAGGAGGCGGACCAGGTTGCTTGAAACGCAACTTGGAGACCGTTCTGCAAGGTGGCCCACCCAACAAAGCATCCACCGTTCCCTTCTCGCACAGCTCAGCCAGAAAGCTAGCCAATTGATCTGAAAGAAGATCCTGGGCCGAATCCACCATCTTGTCAATGCAGACCACCGTTCTCGCACTCGACTCCAACCGCTTCCTCCACCATGACTGGTCAGGCCCCGAGAACAGGTGAACAATGACCGAAGGGCTGCTCAAGATCCTCCTCCTCTGATGCCTGTTCAACGGCACCTGATCGCCAGACCACCTTCCAGAGGGGACAACTCGTGCAAGGAGTTCATCAGGAACCTCAGGCCACATCTCACGAAGGTCCTTCAACCACCTCCAAATATTCGGCGACAAGTCACCAGGATTTCCAGCACGAAGAGCTCTCACCCGGTTTCCAAGTTCCTCCTCTTGATCTTCGAGCTCCTAAATCAGCCTCTTCGCCAACTCCAAATCCACAGTAGGACAGCCCGCATCGAGTTGAACCTCCATCTTCACACCCTTGGGGTCGACCATCTCAAACTCTTCTCCCTCCCAAACGACTCGATATCCAAGCTTTACGACCTTTCCCAGGGGGACAATCATCTGGGTGTCAAAGTCCGTGACCAGTGTGCCTGAAGACTGCACCTGCCTCAAAGTGGCCACCCCCGCTGCTAGTTCTACTTGGATCGGGACCGCGGCTTCGAACTCCGCCTGGGACTTTGCTGGCCTCAAGATGTGAGTTGCACCACCATCCAAGAGCGCCCTCACATGGCCCTTGCCCTTGTTCACGGCACACACCGTCACTGCCCGAGCCCGAAGCGACGGCCTCAAGGACTTGAGCAGCTGGACCGCCTCTTTCACAAGCGCTTCTGCTGCAGGTTGCTCACCGTCAGCTGGTGGCATGAACATCCCCTGAGATGAAGTAGGCCCAGCACCGATGTCAACCGGCTTGGACTCAGTCTCTTTGCCTTTCTTCTCATCCAGGGACTCCTTTTTCACTCGCGGGGCTTCCTTCACAGGGCACTCAGATTTCATGTGTTGCGATGAACCACAGTTCCAACACCTGCCCTGCTTGGAGACTCCCTTCCATTCATGCGGGAACGTGCACTTCTGGCCCTTCTTGCAGCCGGATTCTGACAGGAAGTACCGGCATACGGGCTTCTCAGCTGAAGCTCCTTTCGAGTCACCCTTCCCGGGCTTGAAATCCGGCTTTCCAGACTTGTCTTTCCCATCACGGCCGTCCTTGGAGTCGATGTGGTCCTTGACCTTGTCTTTGCCGTCCTTCTTCTGCCCATCATCTTTGGCACCAGGACCATCGCCATCCAACGCCTTCACCTTCACCGTGTCCTTGATGGGAAGCCATGAACCACCATGGAAGACTGCTTCGCCCTCGGCCAAGAGTGATTCCGAGAAGTGTTGGATGCTCTGTTCAGTTGGAGCGGTATCCACTCTGAGAGCCGCCCTCGTGACCTGCAATCTGAAAGCCACCTGCGGGGAGTGCTTTGCCAATGCTGCAGCAAACCTGTCCAACGTGGAAAGCAGCAACACAGGATCCGGAGGCTGTATATCGAGTTCTTGAACCCTCGTCAACCACCGTCTCCAAGCCCTCAACGCCACCATCCATTCAGTCAAATGGGACGGAACCTTTTGGTCCACGAGCTGCTTTAGCAAAGTGGTTCGCTCACCCAATCCACCAGGTTGGTAAACTCTCAGCACCTTGAACATGATTCCGATCGAACTGACTTCTCTCTGGGCAACCAGCTCTGAGCGAAGAGACTCTGGGACCGCCTTGAGCAATGCGACGGAGCCACGTTGTTCAATCCTCAACCACGGTGGAGCTTGGAAGGCAGGAGGCGTCACCGGAGCAAGCCTAAGACGTTCCATCGGCTCTGAACCAAGCCAAACTCGATAAAGAGCTCCTGCCACCCTCAAAACTTCATCCCACCAAACCGAGGAACTGGAACTCATATCCCTCAAGAACGGGCCAATCGTCGTAATCCAGTCCCCAGCCAACAAAGGCCCCACCTCCGACTCAGACAACTCCTGCAATGAAGGTAGTTCAACTGCACGAACGGATTCTTGCTGTGCCATCAATCCTCCCAACCATGCTGGCACATTGCCAAAGGGATTGCCTGCACCACCACCAGGGGGTCCTCCGGGAAACCCTCCAGGAAATCCTCCATGACCAGGACCTCCACCAGGAAATCCACCGCCGCCCGGACCTCCACCAGGAAATCCACCGCCGCCCGGACCTCCACCAGGAAATCCGTTTCCACCCGGAAAACCTCCAGGATACCCACCAAAACCATTGGTAGGTGCCGAACCACCAGGAAGTCCACCTCCATCAGGTAGTCCACCTCCCGGAACACCACTGTTGCTCTGGCCCTGCCCACCGTCACCTTGTCGCGAAGCCTCACCCAACTCCTGTCCAGCACCTCCTCGGGCCGAAACATCTTCACTTTGGTCACCAGGAGCACCAGCTTCTTGACTAACAGGATCCCGAACAGGTACACCAGAACGTCCTTGAGGATTACCTCCCATCCCAGCCCCAGGAATCTCAGCACCTCCTTGGACTCTCTCACCACTAACTCTTCCCGAACCTTGTGACGATCTCCCAGTCACGCCTTCGCCAGCAAATTGCCGAGCCTCTGAAGCCCCCATCGACTGAGAGCCAAACATCCCACCGGCACTGGAGACCAGGTTGAAGAGCTCCATGAGACTTCCACGAGGCATCGAACTCTGTCCACCAAACCCACCACCATCTTGACGGGCCGGAGGAAATGACCCACCCACTTGGAAGAGCTAAAGGGCCCAACAAACCACGATCACGAGACGGAGCAGCTGCCCCCAAAGAAGACTCAGACTTCATCATATCCATCATCACCTCTATTGGGGACCGTTCATGTCGCTGACTTGGCATGCCCCCATACCATGGTTGTGGACCACAACTTTGACCAGGAGGATGACCCCAGCTGACCATAGCTATAGGCCTCACGCTCCGACCACAGCCTGGCGTTCTCCTGAACCAATCCCTGCACCATAGCCCTCACCGCATCTGGCACATCCCTGGGAGGGCTCACCGAAGTTGGAGCCGGAGCAAACGAGTCTGGCAGCTCCTTGGGCAAATGGGTCGGCCTGCAAGCACGAAGAATTGCCTCATCTCTGGCCGACTCACTCCAAAAATGATTCACTTCAGGACCCAAAGTCACCGGTGGTCCTGAAGGGACAGTCAGAGCTCCGTGCTTTGGGCGGATGTCCTCCAAAGCCTTGACCCCACCGCTCTCGGGGGTCTTCTCGCTCGACCTCTCCGACATGGCTCTGCGGAGATCATGAGTGACCGGTTGGGCCTTTCAGACCTTATCACCTAAAAAGTCAAAAGAGCCCTCGCTCCTTTTCTCGATCAAATAAAGGGCTATCACACAATCTCACATGCCCAAACGTTCAATGCACAAGCACCACATGACACAATGGGAGAAGCGCTCTTATAACTCAATGGCAGAACTTTGCTTAATCCCCTCGAATCCAAGATCAGTATGGCCCTTCACGGCTACGCAAGTTTGGCTAAAGCTCTCTTGGTCGGGGTAGACGAGGAGTCGGAATTTAAGCTTTCTTGGGTCGGGGCATTCCCAGTGGATGGTCATCCGAAACCGAGTTTTTCGGGATCAGGTGGACGCCCAGCTGATCACGGGGGGATCGGGGCGCAGAACTGCGGCGATTAGCTCCACCTGTTCGGACCGCCTGAGCCGTCTCGGGAAGCCCCGCCTGACGCAGGTGCATGACGCCCCGTGACCGGTGACGCCGAGTCTGGCTGAAGAGGCTGAGCAGATGGAGGAGACTCCCCGCTGTGAGCAGATGGAGGAGACTGTATCGGAATATGAATAGTTTTCTGTGTTCTACCCCGGGAATGTTCCAATTTTTGATGCACCCATAGATCGGCATAGGAAATATATGGAATGTCCGTTGAATGTTCGAAGGCTTTCGACAAGTTGGAATGAGTGACGAGTCGATCGATGTGGTTCCGAAGACGTCTGCGCCATCGATCGATCGATGTGGTTCCCCTGTCATAGCACTTCCTCCTCCACCTGGCGTTTGAAAGCTGAGAAATAGCCGTCGCATAATTCTGTCATAGCCGTCGAATCCTCCGTGCCCGTTGGCGGCCGAAGCCTGCGCGGCCCGGGCGTCTGCGTTTGCGTCTGCCCGTCTCCTCCGTCCGGGAACTTCCGCGGGAGTGTTGACGTTCTTTTGGCGCCCTGAGATGGTGTTTGTTGGTTTCACTTTGAAAAACACGTCACCATCACGATGCGATCTGGCCACCTGAGCAGAGACCCAAGACTTCATTTGGCAAGGAAAAAGATGTGAGGAATTCTGACACAGAGTCGCTCCAGTCCACTCTGTTTTGATTCTTGAAGGATTTTCATTTCAGCTTTGGAAGCGAACACAGCCTTTTGCACAGTCAGCGTTGCTTTCTTTCACTCGAAGCCGCCGGAAGCTTTTCGTGGCTCCCAGCTGCACACTGCGCACCGCACACCGCGCACGGCCCACCGCGCCACTCTCTGCAGCTCCGGCCATGGCGCCCAGCGTGTTGATCGCTGGTCTTGTCGGACTCGGAGCGGCCATGGAGCTCCCCAATGTCGTTGGCTTCGTGGAGGAGGGCCATCTATTTTGGGATTTTGTTTTGTTATGTTTTGGGAATTTTGTTTTTTCTTGGAAGGAAGGAAGGAAGGAAGGGAGGGAAGGGAAGGGAAGGGAAGGGAAGGGAAGGGAAGGGA